GAAGAGCAGTTCGTTGTAAGTGATAACGCAAATGCGGTTTGGAGCATGGTTAGTGACGTCTTTGGAGCTGGTGTTGGTGTTCGCCAAGATCCTTTCCATGTCGTTCAGCGCTTCACTGAAAAAGTTAAAGACAAGACCGAGAAAAAACTTTTGGCCAAGCGATTGCACGACTCGATTTATGATGTTGACGGATGTCTACGCTCTCCAGCTCAAATGTCCGAGCGTATTAAAGAAGCTGTGGGCTCTGTTTCGTCCAGACACCTCAATTGCAGCGATCACGAATGGACGGGCACGTTGAATAACAACCTGGAGCAGATAAAACGAGGGGGCCTGTACGTAGAGAATAATACCTACAAGGAGGGTGGCGGCCCAGCAATCCGAGTACTCTCCACCAGTCAGTTTGAAGGATTTCACTCCGCGTTGAAAAGTTGATGGCCAGATCTGTGTCTGCTGAGGTTGGCCTTCGAATTTTGGACGTCTTCATCCTATGACACAACGTAAAGGTCGGCGCGAAACACGCCCGCAACCCACCGCTGGAATACTCAGACATTCTTACCTTGTCTCAGACCGCAAGCTGGTGCCGTGGTGTAGTTCCAGACTCCCCCCAACTTGAGTTTGTATCGAAGCTCCTATCAGAGCCGCATCCACGGCCACAGTACCGCTCCGTAACGGATCATGACTTTGGATTCGAGCAGTGGGGCCAGCTATTCGAGACAGCTCGCGTCGACTCGGCAGTGCTAGAGGTGAATCTCCATCAATCCCATCAACACAGCCGTAATATCAAAGAGCTTCTCTCCAGACAGGCTGTGTTCTCCACTACGAGTCGCCTTCCAGAAGCCAGCTTCTTTTATTCGCTACGCCTCTCCCAACTCGATTACGAAGCAGCAGCAGGGTTTTCATTGGAGGAACTTGCGCTGCTAAGGCAGCTTCGACGAGAACAAGCCAAAGCTGCAGGCCAGCACGAGTTGCGGGTAAACCATCTTCCAAATGATCAAGTAAGTCTAGGCAAGCAGCTTAATACGGGGCAGCCGAAGCTTGCTGAGAGTTGGGCGGAATGTCCTCCGGTCACCACTATCATGTACAACGTCGTCGTTGGTTCGAACCTCAACAAGAAGCTCAATCTACGGAGGCGCAGCTACGCCACACTGGCACCGAAAATCTCGAAGAAGGAGTCTCATCAGACGAATAAGCAGAGCTTCGTAGGCACGCGAGGGTTGTTCAACTTTGAAAGCCAAGGAATGGTTGACGACGGCGCTACAGGGCACGAACAAGCGTTTCAAATCAATCTCTTCACCGCCCTCAGACAAATGGTTAAGTTTCCCGGAAAACGAAAAGCTTTTGTCAGAGTGTACGACTTTGCCAGCCATATCTGCCACGGTATCCACCCGAAATCACCTTCAAACCTGACCATGAGATGGGAATACCTTGAAACGTGCCGCAAACCGTAACGCAAGCACAAAAATCACGCTCAAAC